TTTACATTAACATGTTTGCAGGGACAGGCTGTAGACACCAGAATCCATACATTAAGCTCTAGTTGCTCTTGTGATTATAGTGTCCCTTCAACTGTTTTTGACTCAATTTCCACATGATGTCACATCACATTGAATGAGATATAGGAGAAGTAATTTCTCTAATTTTACTAACAATAAAAAAGACAATTCATTCAATTGCACAAATATATGACTTTGATGGAATCAATAGTACAATACATGAAAAAAGAAAAAGTAAATGTTCTCCAAACTACTTGAATGAGTGCTAATTTGTACTTTTGGATAAAGGTGGGCTGCATAAATGTCCCCATTAATGCCACTAGGTGTCAGTGTTTGCAACTGTAAAATCTAATAATAATTACTCTATAATATCAAATTCGTACAAACTAATTATGCATTATTGGTATTTTATTAAAATGTAGTAATGTTGTCTGTTTGTATTAATTTCTTAATTTTAAAGAAAATAGTATATCGTTTAAACATACAATTTAGACTGTACAATCAGCAGTAAAAACCTTCCCAATAGCTTTGCAATGCCAGCCCTTGCACACAAAAACCTAAGCTCAGTTTACACTAGAGCAGGGGTGGGCAATCTTTGGCCCTCCAGTTGTTTTGGGCTACATCTCCCATAATTCTTAGGGCCATAATGCTAGCAAAGCATCAAGGGAGATGTAGTCCATAACATCTGGAGGGTCCGAGATTGCCCACCCCTGCACTAGAGAATTGAACAATCATCAAAAACACACCTTAAATCAACCATGAACAATTTCAAGAAATAAAAGATTTAGGTTTTGAATGATAATTATCGTCGCTAGACTTGAATAGTATTAAAAATTTGCAGTTTGGTCTCAAACATACAGTACCAGCCTAAACATATTTCTGAACTAGAAGCATTATATAAGGATTAACAGGAAAACATTCCTACACAAAATTTATTTGGCTATGATTTCTGCCAAAGGCAGTGCTGCTAAGTATTGTCTAAAAGGGTATCCAAACCTTTTCACATTTCACATTTATTGTTTTCTTTTTTCAATTAGTTAAAATAAGCAAATATATATAAGCTATATGTTAAAATATATATACATATTTAGAGGGATTAGATGTGTACTGTAAACTGTTCTAATCATTAAAATCTTAATTTATAGATATGTCATTTGTGTATATTGCTGAAATTAATTAATACATCTAATAATTTTAGATATACATTCATTATTAGCGTTTTTTTCTGATATCCTGCATGTTCTTTTTCAGATTTTTAATGAGCTCCTATGTTTGAGTATGCAAGCATTGGAAGGCACAGTGACATTCTATTGAAAGCCTCTGACTTCCTGATACAGAATGCAGAAATTTTCTGTGAAACTGGGAGAAGAGGATTGAGAAGAGGCAATAAGATTCTGAAAATGTGACTACTCGTTGCTCCTTTAGAGAGTCTTTGTGGCAGTGGCACTGCGGTTGGGACTGGTGTGATTGCACCATGACCCAGTGGCGAAACTACTGCATTACCATGCAAGCTCAAGAGGCACGTCTGTGTGGCCCATGCACTTATGGCCACCTAAAGATCATTTTTGATCAGGGGCCTGTCAGATGCCGTAGCCCATTAACAGCACAGCAGGATCCCCAGTCTATGTAAAGCCCAGGTACTGGGTAGAACGAAGTACAAAGCACTTCCTCCCAGCTTACCAATGAGCCACAGGGGAGAGCAAGAGAGGGGAGGACAACAGAGAGGGAGAGCCTGAGACAGACTCCCATCACACTCATCCTGATGTCGCTGGACTTCAAGGAAGTCATCCTCCTGCATTAAAAATGTATGGAAACAGGACGGTGGATAAAAATATGTAAATTGTGACCTTTGAGTTCACATATGTGTGTGTATATGTGTTATTTGGGTTTTTATGTGCATATGTATTTCAGTGTGTGTACATGTGTGCATCTGTGTATCAGCATTTATGTATCTGTGTGTGTCAGTGTGTATCTGTGGAGCAGTGTATGTGCATATATCCCAGAAAATGCTAACTCACACAATCACATTCAAACACAAACACTACACATAAGTACTCCACTTTTTCATAGCTGAAAAGAGACTCCATCAAGTTCAGCCTTCCTCACATATGTTTTTTATGTTGATCCAAAAGAAGGCAAAAAACCCAGTCTGAAGCTCTTCCCATTTTGCAACAAACTAGAGGAAAATTCCTTTTGGCCCCAAAATAGCAGTCAGATATCTCCTTGGATCAAGCAGCTATTACCCCACTAATTTGAAATTATATGCCTGTATGTTTTTGCAAGTATTTATCCAATTGCTATTTAAACATCTGTATGGACTCTGATAAAACCACCTCTTCAGGCAGAGAATTCCATAGCCTATTGTTTTCTTACTGTAAGAAAACCTTATCTTTGCCTTAGATTAAATCTCCTTTCTTCCAGCCTAAATGCGTGACCTTGTGTCATATGCATAACCCTGTTTATGAATAGATTTCCAGATTTGGTTTGTACTGGCCCCGAATATTTTTGTATAATGTTATCATATCCCCTCTGAGGCACGTTTTTTCCAATCTAAAGCGATTTAAATTTTTTTAACCTTTCTTCGTAACTAAAATGCTCCATTCCTTTTATAAATTTTGTAGCCCGTCTCTGCACTTTTTCTAGTGCCATGATATCCTTCTTTAGAACAGGTGCCCAAAATTGCACAGCATATTCAAGGTGTGGTCTTACCAGTGATTTATAAAGAGGCAAAATTATATTTTCATCCCAAGAATTTATACCCCTATTTATACATGACAAAACCTTACTGGACTTAGCAAGCGCAGATTGACATTGCATTTTTTGCCATCAAACCCTCCTCGTGTTTCTGTCCTAGGGCTGTGTGGAGCTTTGTTGGTATTGTACTACTTACGCTTGTGATTGCCCTTGCTAATGTCATTTTGTTTACTTATTTTTGTATTATTTGTATGTGGTTTTATTTATGTACATAACAAATTGCATTTTTTACTTATAATGGTTATAGTGTGCATTCTGTAATATATGGATGTTTGGATACTTTGAACACTTGAGGGAGTGTTTATAATGATTTGCACCTAGCTTTTTGAGGCGTCTTGTCTCTCCATGTGCTCTTTATTTGTGTATCCCTAATTCACTACCATTTAGTGTGCATTCTTGACCCTGAAGTGCATAACTTTGCATTTCTCTACATTCAATTTCATCTGCCATTTTAGTGCCTAGTCCCCCAGTCTAAATCCCTCTGCAGCAAAGCAATATCCTGCTCTCATTTTATTACTTTACAAAATTGTCTCATCTGCAAACACTGAAACATGACTTTCAATGCCTATTTCAAAATAATGTATAAATATGTTAAATAGAAGCGGTCCCAAAACAGAACCCTGAGGGACATCACTTACCACTTTTGTCCTGCCTGAAAATTTACCATTAATAACAACTCGTTGTACTCTATCCTTAAGCAAATGTTCTAGCAAGAACAAGAATATTCATCTAGACCAATTTCTTTTAGTTTTTAGTTTGAAGACTAATTGTATCTCTGTTTCCAGTGTACCTACACTTTAATTTTTTGTTTTTTTTGAATTGATGTACTTGAAAAAAAATGTGGGGGTTGGTTTTGCATTCTTTGGCTATAAATTTCTCATTTTCAAGTTTAGCCACTTTAATTGCCTTTTTGCAAGCATTATTGGTTTGCTTATAACTTTTATATAGGATGCCTCTGATTTGTCCAATTTAAATGCCCTCTTCTTGTTTTTAATCTCATTTTACTTCTCTGCTAAGCCACATTGGTTTCAATTTGTTTCTTTTATATTTATAACCAGTGGTATATACTGAGAAATTTACCTTTCTAATATTTGTTTGAATAGTTTCCGTTTATCCTCTGTTTTTTTTCCCCACTAAGGAGTTTTTACGTCGATATGTTTTAGAGCTTCCCTAATCTTATTGAAATTGGCTTTTTTAAAATTATACATTTTAGTATGCCCCACGTGCTTTTGCTTTTTTGAGTTTATTTATTAAAAAAATTACCATATTGTGATCACTATTTCCCAAATGCTCCCCTACTTGAATGTTGGTCAAAAGATCAACATTGTTTGTTATGGGATCCAGACCAGCATCCTTTCTAGTTGGTGCTTGCACCAGTTGTGACATAAAGGTGTCATTTAACACATTCAAAAACCTGATTCCCCTTGCTGAAGTACTAGTCACTCTATCCCAATTTATGTCTGGGTAATTAAAATCTCCAATAATTAACGTGTTACCCCGATTTGCAGCTTTCCCAATTTGCTCTAATACCTGTTCTTCCTCATTAATATTTACATTAGGTGGTTTATAACATCCCAACCAATAATGGATTTCCATTAGTTTGCCCCAAGCAGATATCTGCCCATAAAGCTTCCACATTTTCCTCGTCATACTCCACATGCCCAAGATTTGACTTTAACTCATGGTTGATATACAAACATACCCCACCACCATTCTTATTTTTCCTATCCTTCCTAAATATAATGTATCCATTTAAGCTAATTGCCCAGTCATGTGTCTCATCCCACCATGTTTCTGTTATGCCTATTATATCATATTGTTTAGTGATTAATGCTATTGCCTCTAGTTCCCCCATTTTGTTTTGTAGGCTCCTTGAATTAGTAAGCATACATTTAATATTATCATGAGTCATTTGTGAATTGTTATCAATATTACAATATTACATACCTCCTCTGTTCTGTGCTTTCCCCTCCCCCATCCCCACCCCCCCCTTATACTGAGCTAAAGCCAATCTCATTTCTATCCTATCTCCATTTTCTTGATTGCTTTGACCCCCCCTCCACCCCCCTAGTACTAGTTTAAAATCTCCTCCAACCTTCTAGCCAACCAATCCCCCAGCACAGCACACCCTCTTCCGTTTAGGACTGCTTTCACATATCAACAGTACATGCAAACACACAACTTCGTTCAAATGCCAATACTACATATATTAAAATCTGTAAAGAATACTCTATACAAAAACATGCTTACATTGAAACACAAACACTGCTCACAAATTCAACTCTGCAAGGGTGAGTACAGCTTGTAAAGCATTGTGGGAGTTGTATGACAGATGAGGATCTATTTTTACCACCCTTGCACTAGAGGGAACTTAAATAATATAGTCTTGCACCAGGGCCCTCTCTACAATAGTTCCACCACTGTTATGTGGCTTCGAGGAAGGCTGTGTTGCCACTACTTCTCTTCTGCCAGGTCTAAATGCTCTTTGATCTCCGGGTATGGTTAAGCTACTAGAGCAGGCTTCGCCAAACTCCGGCCCTCCAGATGTTGGTGAACTACAACTCCCATGATTCTCAGCCTATCTATTTCATTCATAGAATCATGGGAGTTGTAGTTCAGCAACATCTGGAGGGTCAGAGCTTAGGGAAGCCTGTACTAGAGGAATAGAGGCAGTCAAACAGAGTTCTGCCATAGGTTGAGATGATAATGTCTCAGCTGTCTTAATGGTTACTGGTGTGAACTGTGATTGCTATTCAGCTCTCTGCAAGAAGGAACTGCAAACAGTGGAACTAGACCCCTGCAGCTCAAAGTAGTGAATCCTAATGTTTTCCATTCTTGTAAGTATCCTGGATATCTCTACAGTCAAGCCATTTCTAGAAGCCTGCTGTTGAGTTTTTGCAGGCTTGTGTTGTATATGAAAGAAAGAATAAAATCTAAGGCAGAGGCTGGAATTTAGTACATGTCATCTGTGTCATATTGATTGCTTGTTCTTGTGCAGAGCAAGGTAAGATATAATTTACTAGTTTTAATGACTGATGTTACATTTACTACTACAACGCTATGTATTTGTTGTTCTACAGTACTGTCTTAAGCAGGACAGTGATTATATTGTGGGTGAAATTAGCCTCCCTAGCCTTACACGAACTAGGAAAACATTACTTCTTGACTCCAGAATGGCGGTCATATCTCGCCTTGGGAGGAGCTATTACCTCAATTACCAAATTAAAAACTATATCTGTGAATATTATGTTTTGGCAAGTATTCAGCCAGTTGCTGGTTAACCCCTTAAGGACGGAGCCAAATGTACACGTTGTGAACGAAACAAAATGTAAACAAAACCTGGCATTTGCGCTACATGTCTGTCCAACCGTAATTCACCTCTTTCATAGTAAATACACTTACCCTTATTATATATAATTTTATTCAGGGGAAACAGGTCTTTCATTTAATATCAAATATTTAGCTATGAAACATAATTTAATATGAAAAACATTGGAGAAAATAAGATTTGGTCACAAACACTGGCCAAAGTTAGCGTTAGTATTTGTTTGTGTGAAAAATGCAAAAAACGCCAATTTTGGCCAAGACTGGACATACCCTGTTTGCAATACCTTGGGTTGTCTACTATTGCAAATGGTATGCCATCATAGGGGTAATTTTCATTCTTGGGCTACCATAGGGTCTCAAAGGCAACCTAACCAATCTGGCAAATTTTAATGTGAAAAAAATGAAACGCAAGCCTTCTATTTGACGCTGTAACTTTTGAAAACACCATAAAACCTGTACATGAGGGGTACTGTTGTACTCGGGAGACTTTGCTGAACACAAATATTTGTGTTTCAAAACAGCAAAAAGTATCACAGCAATAATATCGTCCGTGTAAGTGCTGTTTGTACATGAAAAATGCAAAAAACTGCACTTTTACTGGCGATATCATCGTTGTAATACATTTTACTGTTTTGAAACACTAATATTTGTGTTCAGCAAAGTCTCTTGAGTAGAACAGTACCCCCCCATGTACAGGTTTTATGGTGTCTTGGAAAGTTATAGGGTTAAATATAGTGCTAGCAAATTAAATTCCCTTTACTTTCGGCATGGGTTGTCAGGCAGGTCCCGCTAATTGTAATTAAGATACCTAATCATGTAAAAATATTACATAAATATATATGTAGAATTAATATATGTGTATATATATATATATATGTGAATCTATATGTGTTTATATATATATTTTTTAAAATATTTTTAAAAAATATTTATGTATATATTTATGTATGTAGATATATATATATTATTTTGTTCTACGTGTATTTTGATATAAATATATATATATATATATATATATATATATATATATATATATATATATATTAATATCACAATACAGTTAGAACGAAAACACACATCTATATATTTTTTAATAATTTTTTTTAAATAATTTTATTTTTTAACGTATTTACATATTTAATTTTTTTATATTATATATAAATATATATATAACAATAATTATATATATATTTAATCAGTATCAGTCTACGTGTTATATTTGTTGACTGTATTAAATCTTTGATTATTCATTTTTGCCCTCTTTATTTACAGGCCTACCGTATCGTCGGTATCGGCACACCACAACCGACTTGCTCCCTTTACACTATCCTAAGCTTATGCTGGATCCTTACTCCATATACGGCTATTTTGCCCCTTACACAAGTATTAAGGCAGTTTTGCCTGTATTTGTGGGAGGGGCTTAAATTAATTCACTCCCCTATATAAGGGACACCCCTTACCTGACTCATATCGCTTGAGGTCAGCATCAGAATGACCCTCCCACCCACTCCTCATTTCAACACTTTCTCTTTTCTTTCCATTTACTTTACTTTCTTACTCCTTGGTGGGCCCTCTTTATTTACAGGCCTACCGTATCGTCGGTATCGGCACAAAACAACCGACTTGCTCCCTTTACACTATCCTAAGCTTATGCTGGATCCTTACTCCATATACGGCTATTTTGCCCTTTACACAAATTTATACTTAGATCATATATATATATAATATATATATGATCTAAGTATATATATTATTTTTTTTACACTTAATTAAATTTATTTTATTTTTATTTTCAGCCAGCAATGCAGCAGGCAGCCTACCTGGCCATGTGATTGTGGGGTCCTCGCAAGGACCTCACTCTCACATGGCCGGGGGGCTTCCAGGGGGTCGGACGTGCCGTGGGGGGCTCCCTGGGAATCCCCCCAACCGCGATCGCCGGCGTGGATCGCCGGCGACCGGGTAAGTACAGAAAGTCGGGAGGGCGTAAAATTACGCCCAGCGGCGTTTAGAGCCGCCTAAAATAGGGCGTAATTGTACGCCCTCCGATCTTAAGGGGTTAAACATCTGTACAGATCCCGATAAAACCACTTCAGGCAGATAAATCCATATCCTTACTGAAAATAAACCTTTTACTTTGCCTTAGACTAAATCTTTCTTCCAGTCTAAATGGGTGACCTTGTGTCTTATATATAGTTCTGTTTACGAATAGATTTCCAGACAATGGTTTGTATAGGCCCAGATATATTCACATTATGCTATCATATCCCCTCTGATTTGCTTTTTTTTTTTAAACTAAGCAGATTTGGATTTGATAACCTTTCTTCATAACTAAAATGTTCCATTCCTTTTATTAATTTTTCTAGTGCCATATCTTTTTTTTTTTAGAGCAGGTGCACAGCATAGTCCAGATGTGTTTTTTTGCATTGATTTATAAAGAGTAAAATTATATTTTCATTACAAGAATGAATGCCCCTTTTTATACATGACAAAACCTTGCTGACCTTAACAATTGCTGATTGACATTGTACATTGTTGCCTAGTTAGTTGTCTATAACACTTCCAAACTCCTCGTGTGTTGTTATCCGTAATTCACTACCATATAAATCCTTGTGCAGCAAAGTAATATCTTGCTCAAATTGTATTACTTTACAGAGTTTTGTGTCATCTGCAAACAATGAAAGTTCTTTCAATGCTTTTTTTTTTAAAGATCATTTAGTCTTCCAGTCTCTCAGACTCAACCAATTATCCAGTCAATAATTTAGCTTTCCATTCAGCTAGTCTGGTCTTAGATATGAAATTAATTTTAAATTCTCACTTTAGTATATAACTCTGTTAGTCCTGCAGTCTTTCAGACTCAGGCACTTATCCAGTCAATAACATTACACTCATTCAAACTGAAGAAATAAAAAAGCTAATATTCGATTATAAACAAAAAATGTCCATTGATAAATGTTAAAAATAAAAATGTATGTTAGTGAATGTGTGTCTGTATGAGTGTATATTGAAAATGCATGCTATAGGTGTATATTATTATCTATCTCTTTCTTTCTAAGAGTCTCCATTCCCAAGCCCTGTGATCCAGCGCAAAGAGTGTGTAAACACAGGCAAGCTGCAACTAATATATACCTTGCTTTTTATACTGGATTTAAATTTTCAGGCAGTGACTTGTCTTAGAGCACAGTTTGAAATTAAAATCATGGTGCTTAATTCCTTTGTGTCACTGCCGAGCTAACGTTACAACGGAATAGGCATGTGCATGGGGAAAATGTTCGGTTCAGCATTCTGAAATTCGGCCCTTCAAAACTTCAGAACTTCGGCACTTCAGCACTATGGAAATTCGGCCACTTCGGCACTTCGGAATTTTGGAACTTCGGCATTTTGTAATTTCGGGACTTCGGGACTACTCTTGTAGCCGCTTAGTAGATAACTCCCTAATTCCCACGGTATTAGGGAGTTAACTACCAAAAGGCTGAAAAGACCTAAATTGGTCTTTCAGCCAAATTTACTAATACTAAGTAAAAATTACTTAGTATTAATAAACTTTGCCCCTACTCGCTATAATGCGAGTAGGGGTATGTCTATTAAACAGTGAGCAGCCCTAAGTTGGAATAAGGGTGAGGACCTAATGTCCTCCCCCCTGGCCCCCACCCCTGAGTGGTGGGTGGGGGCCCTAAATTGGAATAAGGGGGGGGACCTAATGTCCTTCCCCCTGGCCCCCACCCCTGAGCGGCGGGTGGGGGCCCTAAATACCAATAGGGGGGACCTATTGTCCTCCCCCCCGGCCCCCACTCCTGAGCGGCGGGTGGGGGTCCTAAATAAAAATTAACCCCTACCTACCCCCCTCACCTTAAAAATAATGAGGGGGGACCTTTAACTAAGTACCTGTAAAAAAATAAAACTTACCATTCAATGTTTTCTTTCTTCTAAAATCTTCTTTTTTCAGCCCCAAAAAAGGCCAAATAAAAATCCATAATAACCGACGCACTTAAAAAAAAACCCCCAAAAAAAACGAGTGCAAAAAAAAAAAATCCATCTTCACCCATGGAGGGCTCCATGGAGACTGAGCTCTGCAGGGCGGAGGAAGGCTTATAAAGCCTTGCCCACCCTGCAATTAGGCTCAGAGCACTCTGATTGGTGGGTTTAAGCCATCCAACCATAGTGCTCTGACAGGTAAATGAAGAGACTGACAGGTAAGTCTCTACATTTACCTGTCACCCCATTTACCTGTCACCCCGACTTTGGGGACCCCTAGTCACCTGGGGGTGTAACATTTTTATTCAGGGCACCCACCCACCACTCAGGGATGGGGGCCAGGGGGAGAACATTAGGTTCCCCCCCTTATTTTACTTTAGGGCCCCCACCGACCGTTCAGGGATCGGGGCCAGGTGGGAGCACACTAGGTCCTCCCCTTATTAGTATTTAGGACCCCCACCCGCCGCTCGGGGGTTGGGGCCAGGGGGAGGACATTAGGTCCCCCTTATTCTAATTTAGGGCCCCCCACCCACTGCTCAGGGGTGGAGGCCAGGGGGGAGGACATTAGGTGAGGGGGACTTTTTTTTTCATAGGTTGCTCACTGTTTAATAGACATGCCCCTACTCGCAGTATAGCGAGTAGGGGCATAATTTACTAATACTAAGTAATCTTTACTTAGTATTAGTAAATTTGTCTGAAAGACCAATTTAGGTATTTCAGCCTTTTAGTAGATAGCTCCCTAATACCGTGGGAATTAGGGAGTTATCTACTTATTCATTCCTGTCATTAGACTGACTGGCTAAGTCATTTACATTTTATATGAATGTATGTTACTTGATTGTTGTAAGTGTTGCAAATGCTTACAGCTGAATCCTGGCTCTGTTTGTATACTTTTTATTTAAAATTGTATACAGTGTAACATTCTTCATTCTTCCACTGGGTAAGTATATTAGTTCTTAGTCAATACTGTGCTTCGGCACTTCGGCACTTCAACACTTCGGAAATTCAGTAATTTCTGGACTTCAACCATTCAGCAATTCATCTATTCGGACATTCGGAAGTACCCGAATGTCCGAATTCACATTCGGACTGAAACAAATTGCACATGTCTACAACGGAATATATTGGAGTAAATTCTTTCATTGTGCATGGCAAAAACAGTTGGTTTGACCGAACTGTCTGAATACAATTTTATTTCAAATGATCTGCAATTCGTTTATATATATATATAGAGTTTTGGTTTGGACAAATTTTTGCCAATGCAATAGTTTCTGCAATAATTATTTGGATGACCCAAATGGGCACAGAAATAAGGCAGTCAATGTACTGCAAAATATAAATATTATGAAGATATTTTGCAGCACACGAATACATGCATTTTCCCACCATTTGGTTCTCAGATTAAGTGAAAAAAAAGTAACCAATAACATGGGAAATAGGAGGAGCAGAAAAATAAATAAATATATATATATATATATATATATATATATATATATATATTTATTTATTTAAGGAACACTTTAGGATCAGCAACACAAATATGTATTCCTGCCCCTCTAGTGTTAAAACCACCATAAAGTGGCTTTTCCCCTCTTAGCCCCATGTCACGGTTTACTTGAGCTGGGAGTCCGGTAGACAGATATTTACGCTCCCCCTTGCAAATAAACACAGACCAAGGTGACCAGGTAAGAATCCACCTGGCCTCTGGGGCTGTGCAGGGATATAACGCCAAGTCACAGTACAGGCAAGGACAAACAGAAGAGTACTCATGGAAAGCCAAAGTCAGAGAAAACTATAAGAAGAGCCAAGGAACAAACTGGAGAACACACGATCTGGATACGCAGAAACAGGAACCAAAATCATGAACCAGAGTCAATAAACTGACAAAGTTCCCAGGGCAAGGCAGTGCTTATATACCCAGCTGCTTAATGATCTGCTTCAGGTGGGCTAGATAGATAGGAGCATCACAGGTAAAGTCCAGCCCCCTAGTGCTGTAGGCAAGACATGGTTAACATCATGTTGAAACATGAGATGAAGTGTGGCTCAGAGGCAAGACAGCAGGTCCCACTCATTGTGTGTGCAAAAAATAATACTTTTCAGCATTTGACCACTGAATTGAAAATTTTAGGTCAGACTAGTCAAGCTGAAAAAATGGAATTGTCCCATCTTGGCACATGGTGTAAGACTGCTTTGAAATTTTGAACCGAAGGGGCGTGGGGGCTGGAGGAACATGTGCCCTGGGTGCCGGATGAAGAGGCAGTCATCCACAAGAAGCAGCAGCCACAAAGACTCTCTCTGACAGCCAAGGCTGAGCCATGCCTTCCTACAAACAGCTGCTTGATGAGAGGGAAACAAGAAGCAATCCATGCTTAACCCAACCACTATTACCAGGGAATGTCCCAGCTTCCGCTTCTCCTACAGCACCAGTGACCATAAAGGTAGGACCCAGGATGCAGGTTTGGTGACTGTATGTGTTTGACTGTAACTGTGAGTGTGTGATTGTAACTGTACGTGTGTGTAACTGAAATTGTGTGTGACTGTAACTGTGTGTGTGACTGTAATTGTGTGTCTGCCTGTAACTCTGTGCAGTTTACTGTAACTGTGTTTGCCTCTGACTGTGATTGGGGATATCAATGACTGTGACTATGTTTGTGACTGTGTGCCTGTGATTATGTGTTTGGTGTCTGTGTGTGTGCCTGTAGCGCTTTGTGAATATGTGCCTTCCTTTGACTGTGTGTGGTGTGTGTGCAACTGTATGCATATGTTTGTGTGTCTGCATGTTACTTAGTGTATGTTTCTGACTGTGTGCACCTGACTTATGTGTGTGTCATTCTGATTCGGTGCATTTGGATGTATGACCTTGTGTGTATGTGTGTGCATCTTCATGTGACTTTGTGCATCCTTGTGCATATATTTGACTGTGTTTCTAGCTGTATGTATAAGTGATTGTGTGCATAATCATGTAATTATGTTATGACTGTGTGTGATTGTATGTCTGTATATGTGACTGTGTGTGTCCATGTTTGAATGTGATTGCATGATTGATTGCATATCTATGTATGCATGCATGTCACTGTGTATGTAGGTGGGGGACAAAAAAAGTGTAAGAGGGTTAAGAAACAGACAAGAGGTAAAGGGGATTAAGAAATACAGAAGAAGTAACATGGGTTAAGAGACACACAAGGTTGAAAGTGGGATTAGGAGAAACACTCTAGTAGAGTCAGCATATACACACAAAACCATGAGTACATGCAAAAGCGACACACAAAAGTTTACAGTTGGGGATGCCAACATCGACTTCCTGTGTGACAAGTGAACTAGCTACTCCTCTGGTGTAAGATATGCATTTCTCCGGTCAATTCCCATCAATTTCCAGTTTAGTAAATAATGTGTTTATAGAGTCAATATCTGTAAACAAGATCCTGAGAACTGCTTACTTTGGGAAACTTCCTAAATATTTGATTCTTACAACCTCTAATTATTATGAAGGCTCTCTGAACAATGCCTTACAGGTCATTTTGGCAATAATACCATTAGATTAGTGGCACAGAATTCACATCAAGTACCCTATGGCAGTCTAGAGACTGTTTAACTTTGTTTAATATTTGGAAACATCAAATACCTTTGTGTTGTTTTGAACAGGCAGACAGAATTCCGCTGTGCTTTGACACAAGCACATTTTGTACAGCTAATAATCTCCAGATTATGATAAAGCTAATGATTATTAAATAGTCTCTTGTCAGCAAACTTTAGCAAATAAACAGTCTGTTCAGATAATTATTATGTATGTAAAACTATACAGAGATATCCGTTATGCACTTTAAGAATTTATACAAAATTAAATGGTTAGAATTTTTTTATTAAAGGAATACTATAGTGTTAGGAATAAAAAATATGTATTCTTAATGTCCACCTCTGATGAATACAAAAAAAATGTAACTCCCCTTTTTCCCTCCAGTAGTCTTGCCGCAGTCGACTTTCCTAGAAAAGCATTGATGGGGCTAGTGTGAATGTGCATCAATTACTACCCTGGGCCAATCAGCATCTCATTAAATAGATGCATTGAGTCAGTGCATCTGTATGTGGAGCATTCAGCATCCCCAACAGATCTTTAGTAGCAGGGAGATCATATCTGCAGTCTTACTGGAAGAAATACATGTGTAGTGGCAAGATGGCACAGATGCCAAGAGACTTGTATTGCATTTACAGATTCTTGATCCAAGGATAAATCGTACTGATATTCTTGGGTCAACGCAGGAATGTTTTTCCTAGTTTGTTGCAAAATTGGAAGTGCTTTAAACTGGTTTTTTTTTTGCCTTCTTTTGGATCAACAGCAAAAAAAAAAAAAAATGATGTGATAAAGGCTGAACTTGATAGACATGTCTCTTTTTCAGCAGTCACAAAATTCTCAGAAATAGAAAGTCTACATTCTAAATTCTAAATACAAGTCAGTAAAAACCACAGCCATTACCCAAGCCTTTTCAAAGAATCCCATTGGTACTTACTTTAGCAAAGCATGCTCACACAGAGGAAGGAAATTATTAAGAACATTTCTATAGAAATTAGTGGTCTTCTATGAACAAATTCCACAATTTAGGTAACATCGTAAACATTAATATTTTTATATTTTCCTTTGAATTTGAATTTTGTCATCTTATAACACAGGCTAAAAGAATGGACATACTTCATTTTTATTGTGCTTCTCTATTGGAAAATAAACTAATAATGTTCCACTTCAGTCTCTGAAAAATAAAAGGTTTGTCTTTGTTTGACTCTTGGTTGTTGTCCATCAAAAATGATTTGATGTTCACTACTATTGTAGTGGGATTTGGGCATTATTTTCTAAAACTCATATATATCTGTCAATAAAGCAATATGAACAGGGAATGTGATTGCAGAAAAAAGGCGTTATTAGAAATGAAAATGTTAATATATTTTTTTGTACATTGAATATTTTTTCAAATTCCAGATCCCAATCAATGATTTTAACTAAGAAGACAATTATGCAACAAGAAACTATGATTCTCAAGTCTGTGCACTCAGGGCCAGATAAACACAGGGGCGAGTGGAGCTGAAGCTCTAGGCCCAAACTCCTGGAATAGGCCCATTTAAAAAAAAAAAAATTTTTTACAGCTCTTCACACGCTATTGCTTTGTGCAGAGAGAAATTATTATAATTGACCTAGAAGGAATGCAGGGGAACACAACTATTGTGGACTAGCTGACTTTAAAATAGTTAACTAACCAACTGTGCAAATCTTCTTCCTGTTTCGGTCTCCCCATAGTGTGGCACATTTCCTTTTTGCTACACTCACTACATCCATCTTGTTCTCATTCCCAGACTGCTTACCAGGAGCTACAGTTTGCTAGCAAGAAGTGAAGGAGAGGAGTGGACAAGTGAGTGTTGCAGGACACCAGGGAACTGTGCCCAGGAAGAGTAGACCGAGCGCATCATTAGATGCATTTGTGGCAAACTCAGGGTGCTGAAACAGCGTTGTTTGCAAAGTCAGCCCTTAGCTGGTGGGCCTGCATGACTGACAGGAAACCTGGCATGCTTTTATGCCAGACTGACCTTCCAATTCTTTGGGCAGAATTGCCCTCTTCCTAGGTGGGTCTGCCGCAATGGGCAGTGCAGATGACATGATATACCCCAACCCACCAGCATCCTCCTTCACAAAATGCCAATGTCGGGAGCATAGATTTGGTTGAGAGCTAAAAGTGAGAGATTAGCCTAGGGTATGTGTATTCTCATAAATGCATCTTGTGAGTTCCCCTTTGGCATCCACCACCTCCACCAGATATATGACACTTTGGGGTTTTTACTATTTTACTGTTTTCTGTTGATAGGATTCTGTAATATGGCCCAATATCATTCTCAACACCAGGCCTAACAGTCTTTTAATCCGCCATGTGTGCATTGGATGTCTAATATACAATGCAGATTCATCCAAGACCGATAACGGACTTCCAACTATATGTTTTTTAATGAAAATAATAATTTCTTTACAATAAAAATAATAGTTAAAAAAAATAAATTGTTTCATTGCAGTGATTATTGTTTATAGGTTCACATAATTATTTCTAAACATTTGATGTTGAAATATCTTCATGTTCGATAGAAATAAATTTGTATTTCATTGTCAGTTAATTGCTATTTTCTCACTGATTTCATTTTGAAGTCATATTTACCTATTCACCCACTTCCTGCCCATCTGACGCATCCTTTTAAAACAAAGCTTTTGCTAACTACTTCGTACTAACAGTTATTATGGAGTGGACAGTTTAATGTATAAAAGAATAAAAAGTCAAACATTCATTTTGTGTTTATCTTTCAAAGTATTTACTTAAGTAATTAAATAATGTTTAAAATACCATAACAATGAATGCAACTGATATTTAAAAAATAAAAATAACAAACATAGTTTATTGCAAAAAAATGAATGCAGAGTTTTTCCACTTCAACAGATAGTGTGTCCAAAAATGAAGAGGTGCTCGCTCATTCGGAACATTCATGTGCTATGCTGACAGCCTTCTCTGCATTATGAAAATTAACCTTATAACAGTGTATCCCTTGGCAAGTTATCTAATGACCCAAAAAATCCCAAATGAATAAGATGGCGCAGGTTTACTTTAAAAAGTGCAATAAATATTTAAATATTATCTCTGCATGCAGCAACCACAGAAACCTTGGTAAAATGGCTCAAACAAAATATAGATAAATGGGTCCGCAAATAAATTATACAATTAAAAATGTGATATTCCACAAAGCTTTGTGAAAAAGTGACACCAATTATTTTCATGCAAATCAATATTTCAAAGTGCACAAGTGGCAACAATATTCTCAATATGAATAAGGAAACATTTATTAGTTTAAAATGTCAATTTATACTAAAATCACCACAAAGGTGTAAAAGTGATTTTCATAAAAGCACAAACAGATGCTATATAATTGCACAATATCCTTATGTAGAATCAAGAATATCTAAGGATAAAAAAAAAAAAAAACCATCCTAGTGCAACATTGTAAAATAAAGCAAAAATAAACTTAAAATCCAAATGGTTAAACTCACAAGTACAGAGTGGTTAGAGTACCACTCCAAACTGTAGTGCCCAGTGTGGAATGTCACATTTTTTATTATATAATTTATTTGCGCACCCATTTATCTATATTAAGTCATCTAATGAATATGAAACATGTTTTCGTTTCATATCCATGTAAATCAGCGGCAGCCTTAACACTGGTCAAGTGGACTGTAATGCACACTCTTTTGAAAGTTTTCTTGCTCTCAAGTCCCTAATCATAAACTATAGTCTTAATAAAAATGTAGGCCTCGATTTATTAAGCTTTCCAAATTATTTAACACATTATTGTGACCTGTTGTTTTGAAGCAGTCTATTATGAACTAAATTTTCTACTCCAATCTCTCTACTGTTCCATTTCCTTTATCTGACCACCATCTGCTGACCTTTGACATCAGCATACCCCATACCCAAATTTCACCACCCTCAACTCTCCAGTCTCGCAGAAACCTCAACTGCCTTGAGCTCCAGCATTTCTCCACCAAAACTCCAAACTCTCCTTTTACCTATCTCAAATGTCACTTGCCCGAACTCTGCAACCTCACTCTACAACTCCACTCTCTTCTCTCAACTAGACATCATGGCACCTCCTACATTTAAGCGCAGCAAGCGTTCACAATTACAACCCTGGCATACCAAGCTGACCCGATATCTCCAAAAATGTTCAAGAACTGCTGAACGCTGTTGGAGAAAGTCTCACTCTGCACCTGACTTCCTCCACTATAAATTTATGCTGCGCTCCTACACTCTGGCTCTTTCCTCTGAAAAAGTAAATTACTTTATTACCCTCATAACCACACTCTCCCGTGAACCCAAACAACTATTTCACACTTTTACTGCTCTCTGTCGCCCTGTTGCTCCCCCTCCTCCTACCACCCTGTCTGCCTCAAACTTTGCAACTCACTTCACTGAGAAGATTTCTACAATCAGGGAAGAGATCTCTAACCTCACTCACTCCCCTTCCAATACATCGCCCAAACCCACTCCCTCCGCTGTTCTATGCTCGTTTGCACCTTATACAATGGGAGAGGTTTCTTCTGTGCTCTAGTCCTCACTCCCCACCACCTGTTCTCTCAATCCTATTCCCTCATATATCATCCACACTCTGTCTCCCTCTTTTGCTTTTCCTCTCACTAAAATATTCAATCTCTCCCTTTCCTCTGTCACATTTTCTTCACCCTTTAAACATGCAACCATAACACCGATTCTGAAAAAGCCCAACCTTGACCCCAACTCCCCATCCAACTACCGCCCTATCTCGCTACTGCCATTTGCCTCCAAGATCCTCGAGAGAGTTGTGTACGCCAGATTGACAGACTTTCTCAAATCCAACTCTCTGCTTGACCCCCTTCAGTCTGGATTCCGCGCTGGTCACTCTGTCGAAACTGCTGTGACCAAAGTATCCAACGATTTAATTGCTGCTAAATCTCACGGTCAATACTCTATCCTAATCCTCCTTGATCTTTCTGCCACCTTTGACACTGTTGATCATCAACAGCTTCTTCACATTCTCCGTAACTTTGGTCTATGGGATATTGCTCTCTCCTGGTGCTCCTCCTACCTCTCCCAGCGCTCTTTCAGTGTTTCTTTCTCTGGCTCTGCCTCTTCTCCCCAACCACTCTCTGTCAGCATCCCCCAAGGTTCTGTCTTTGGTCCCCTACTGTTCTCCATCTATACTGCCTCCCTTGGTAAACTCATCAGCTCCTTTGGCTTCCATTGCCATTTATATGCAGATGACACACAAATCTACCTGTCTTCTCCTGATCTTTCTCTGCCCGTCTTGACTCGTATCTCTGGCTACCTCTCCATGATTTCCAACTGGATGGCTGCTCACTTCCTTAAACTCAACCTGTCCAAAACAGAACTTCTGGTCTTTCCTCCCTCAAGTGTTGCTACTCCTGTGTCTGTCTCCCTCCAAGTCTTTGTCTCCGACCTCTCCTTCACCCTTCATGTCCAGTCGATTGCCAAATCCTGCTGCTTCCATCTAAAAAACATAGCTTGAATGCACCTTTATTTAACACCAAGTGCTGGTCCATGCCATTGTTCTTTCTCATCTTGACTACTGCAATCACCTTCTCAGTGGTCTTACGTGTTCCCAGACTGCACCGCTGCAATCTATAATGAATGTGGCGTCGTGGCTCATTTTCCTGTCCGCCCGTACCTCCCACGCCTCCCCTTCTCTGTCAGTCCCTACATTGGCTTCCAGTTAGATATTAGGCTTAATTTTAGATTCTGGTGCTTGCTTACAAGTCCCTGCATAATGCTGCTCCAACCTACCTATCCTCCCTAATACACAAATATGTCCTGTCGAGGCCACTGCGCCCTGCCGAAGACCAACTCCTATCCTCTGTACGTACTCCCACATCTGATGCTCTCCTCCAAGACTTCTCCAGGGCTGCACCTTTTCTGTGGAACTCCCTTCCCTTCTCCGTTAGACTTTCGCCCAGTCTCCACTCCTTCAAAAAAATCTTTGAAAACACACTTCTTCAGAAAAGCATATCATTTAAACTGTTAGCGGGTTTTCATCCACCCCCTCCCCCCATGATTCCTCTACTGCAACTGTCAAAAATAACCTACTAAGTTCCTAGTGATTACTTTTCTAGCAACCTATTTCATTACCCCTACTTATACACTTTGTGTCACCATACCCCCACTCCCTCTAGCATGTAAGCTCATTGAGCAGGGCCCTCAACCCCCTCTGTTCCTGTGCGTCCATTTGTTGGTTACTATTACGTGTGTGTTAGTCCATCCATTGTACAGCGCTTCGGAATATGCAGGTGCTATATAAATAATAAAACAATAATAAATAATAACAATACATGATTAATTACACTTCTGAATAAATAAGTTCACTTGTAGACACTTGTGTATTGGAGAGCTGAAGTATGCTGCTGAAAACATAAGTACATCTAATTTTCAACAATTCCCATGTATAAAATGTCATGAAATAAACACAAGCTGCTCTTTTTCATGTAATTCATGGTTTGTTTTGCTGATACAGAGGTTTACTAAATGGTATTTAAAATTGACTATGTATGTGTCCTGCTTTCAAAATATGTTTGGCAAGACGCAACTGTGAGACCAATTAACTCTGCAATTATTAGAATATTTAATAACCACAGCAGCAAAAAAAAAAAAATCGGAAAATGGTATACACAATGATATAGATGGAACATCATCAAAAAATTTAGAAGGTTTTATTTTTTGTTGTCACTGCTTCTACATTATTTTGTATTGTATATTATTTCCGATTTGGCCAATAAACATAATTTGTTGTGTATTATTTGCTGGTTGTGTTTATTGTGTGTTTAAATAGGTTGCACATGCAGATCACATGTAATACAATAAAAATAGCCTAGACTCTGGTTATATTTAATTAACTCGCAAAAGTGTTAATTCATGACATTCATTCACTCATTTTTGTGCATTCTGAGACCATGGTAATAAATTAGCTAAAATTGACATTGGTCATTTTTTATATTTATATTTATCAATTTCATGATACCAACTATATCCAAGTAGCTATCTTAAAATCAATTAAAACATTGCATTATTGTACTTACTATATCTTGTTTGGAGCTACAGTGGGAGGAATCTTTATTTTGCGGCAACAGAAAATTAAAATACTCTTTAATTAACTGATAAGTAAATAACATTTCCAAAAGCTGACAAGCTGAAACTATATATATCATTATTATTATGATATTTATAGAGTGCCGTCAAATTCCGCAGCGCTTTACAATGGGTGGACGAACAGACATGTAGTTGTAACCAGACAAGTTGGACACACAGGAACAGAGAGGTTGAGGGCCCTGCTCAATGAGCTTACATGCTAGAGGGAGTGGGGTAAAATGACACAAAAAGGTAAGGATATATATAAATAAAAGGACAAACTCTGGCACTCTTCCTTTAAATAAAAAAAAATAGTAATATTATCCGGGTGCTTCCAAGCTTCCAAGATATATAGGGTCAATCAGGAGCACTCCATTGGATTTTGAAACAAAGTATTTTAATCCAGTGTTAATAACTCACATCATCAACGTTTCGACCCAATAGGGTCTTTATCAAGATCTTGATAAATACCCTATTGGGTCGAAACGTTGATGATGTGAGTTATTAACACCGGATTAAAATACTTTGTTTGAAAATCCAATGGAGTGCTCCTGATTGACTATATATATATATATATATATATGTATATATATATATATATATAGTTAATACAATGCTAAACAAAAATCTGCACACCAGTCAAGCCATAAGACTTGCTTTTCCCACAGAAGTCCCAAATCAGCAGTGATGTTACAACCGCAAAGGATTCTGGGTGGGCATATGCAAATTAGTTTAACAAAGAATCACATTTTTGCCTCATTCCATTTTAAACATGGATTCCTTTTAATTTGTGTTTGCAGTATACAACTGCTTGGAACACAATTTAGGATAAGATGCAAAATCACAATTTTTCCCCACCATAACCTATTTAGATTTTGCTTCCCAAGCACTACCAAGCCTCAATTAGCAAACCAGTAACCAACCTCATGCTGAAGAGTTGCATTAACAACGAAACAGCTGTCCATGAGTGGTTCACTGGTTTTGCATCTTATCCTAAATTGTGTTCCAAGCAGTCGTATACTGCAAACACAAATTAAAAGGAATCCATGTTTAAAATGGAATGAGGCAAAAATGTGATTCTTTGTTAAACTAATTTGCATATGCCCACCCAGAATCCTTTGCGGTTGTAACATCACTGCTGATTTGGGACTTCTGTGGGAAAAGCAAGTCTTATGGCTTGACTGGTGTGCAGATTTTTGTTTAGCATTGTATTAACTATCCACATACTTCAGGTGGAAGGGGTTTTCAATCACAATTTTTCCCCACCATAACCTATTTAGATTTTGCTATATATATATATATATATATACACACACTAAATTTGGCCAAGCTTAACAGTCCAAGGATGTCTAGTAGTATCTAGCACCATATATTGCAAACCGAGTGTAAACTGAATACACTAAAGTACACTAAAGCACATTGAAATAATGTTAATTTAGATTAATTAAACAAATTCTTGAAATATATATATAAATGGACCAAAATTATATATCTGCACATCTACCCATTATATTCAGTCTCCTGCCAGGTCTCGCTGTCTCCTCCACCAAAACAACATATATTCGAGATATATCTAAAAACTTTAATTTATTCACCTTTAGCCTTCATATTTTTGCATTTGAAATTATGAAATATCTTTTTATTGCAGCCTGTATGGAGAAGTAAATCTGGCTAGGTCACCTTTCTTGCTCATTTTCTGTTCTATTGTTCAATTATCAAAAGTCCTTCGCTAGCTTCCCAACCCATCAAGAACATTGAAGCCATTTACCCAGGCTTCACTATGAATCATTTAACTTCTCTGCACTTATTACTGAACGCTCCTAACTAGGTACCTGAATTCTCCTAATGTTATAAAGGTTTGTATAAATAAATATTTGTTTTGATGTAGCAGAAATCTGAAAACCTACAACATTAGTTTGTTTCACTACGTTAAATTAAGTTCGATCATAATATCTTAGTGTTATGTTAACGTAGAAATTATACTGTCTCAGATAATATGAGGTTCACGGTCACAACTACAATCCTTTTAGGAAAATTGGCACTCTGTTTCATAGCCATATCAGTAGGGAAATCCAGAGCAACCCAATGGTTCAAAGGTTTAATGGGTTGACAATGGTAATCATTCATAAACTGCTTTATACAGCCAGGTAATTGTGCAGTACAAGAACAAGTTACAGTTGTGACTTTTTCTACTTCCTTTTTCAAAAAAAATCCGACAACGCTGGTTTATTTGCCACGTTTTGAGCAACACGATGACCTGCACTAAACTTGATGATTTTCTCTTCTCAAATTTGTTGATCCATGGAAATGTTACTGCTATTTTAAAGTCAAGAAGGATTTTTTTCAAATTTGTTTGAATTTGTAATTTTAGTAACAGAAGGCGAATATTTTGAGATAAACTCTCTTTACTAACTCCTACAGCAGCACAAATTAGAAATAAATAAAAAAAAGACCAATCAAAAACAAGTAGGAGGTAACATAATGGTATGTTCTTAAAATCTCTTTCTACTGCCGTGAAGAGTATCAATAACAATTCATAAAATCAAAGAAACAAACGGGAAAATGAACAGCAATCAGACCTGATCACAGGAATGAACTTTCAAACAATTGGTCACATACCAAAATCTAAGGTTACATTGAAACAAAAGAAAACATGAATGGTATCTCAAAGTGGAAAAAAATCTATATGTTTAGATATGTATGTATTATAAAATATACGTAACCAAACAAGCCAATGCAAAAGTTAGGAATCTCATTAAAAAAAATTGAAAAAGTTGACGTAAACTTAGTCCGACGGGAGATAGTAAAAGTGACATCCTATAGGGAAAAGGTAAATTCATCAATGTTGAAAGACATCAGAAACCCGTTGAAAAGACACCAGACACAAAAGCATCATAGACTGTGCCAACAATAGACATAGGGACAAACCCTCATTATCCAGCCAACCTTGTAGAAATTGCAGAACTAAATCCACATCCCACAAGTGTGTATGTTTGGGAACCCAAGGATTAGACAATTTAATATCCCGTAACAGTCTACAGTTCAGAGGATCCTGTTCAACCGGCTGATTGCATAATGTTAAGCAATTGGAAAGTCCTGCCTAGCACAAAAGATTGAGATAGGAAGTTTAAGATAATGGGAATAGGACCTGCAAAGGGATCATAACCCCTTTCCAGGCACCAAAGGGAAAAAGAGGGAGGGGAAAAGAGAGAGAAGGGATGAGCCAACATATAAAAAAGATCCCCTATTTATGAATGTACAAAAGAGAAGAAAGAAATATAGGAGGATGAAAATATATTCTCGAAATAAATTACTGAAATCAGTGTATACCTTTAATGACAGGGTCCAGAACAGTATTCAAACTTAACTTTTACTAAATCAAAAAAAGATAAAATGATATCAGCTGATCTATAAACAAACCATACAATACTCAATGAGGCAAACAGAA